CACACACACACACGCCCCTCTCTCTCTCTCTCGCGGAGGTTAGCGAGTTGTCATGGCGATGAAGCCAGCCGCGGCGTCTGCTCCGGGGGCTGTTGCCATGGAGATGCGAGGCGCTCGGCTCCCGGTGGTGGAGGAGGACGAAGGCTGCAGCACGCCGGGGTTCGAGGAGCGACTACGGCACCGGCGAAGAGGAGGGAGCCGGCGGCGCGGGCTGCCGTTCAACCGCAGCGGCTACTACCTGCTTGTAGTGATCGGGGAGGTGGGGTCGGAGCAGCAGCTGGACGCGGCCAGAGCCCAGATAGAGCGAGGTGAGTGATGGACGGAGCACCGGACCCTGACCGGTTTGTTACTTCACTTACAGCTATGGAAGGCCAGAGGGAAAGTAAAGGGTTTACAGCTGGAAATATGAAGAGGATTGAGATGTTTTTGTTGTTGACGCAATGAACAGAGCTGGTTCCACACAGGCAGAGGTGCTGCAGCACTGCACCACGAGACTCCACGCAAGCCTTTCCCCTAACCCTGCTGTGCTCTGCAGGACTGCAAAAATGCACACTCACTCTATCATTCCCTTTTCGTTTTTTAGCAGGATCATTTCTGGTGCCTGGAGGCCATCAGCTCTGCTTCAGAAAATCACTGCAGAAGTATGAAGAGATAGAACACAGTGAACCAATCTTCTGATTACTTTTTCTACTGCTTTATATACAAACACAATTTAAAAAAAAAGTTGAGACCAAAAATAAAGGGTAAATAAAACTGAGTAGCAAATTTCTTAAAAACAGGATGGAACAAAGTAAACATTTCAAATGTTCAAACTAAGAAAGAGTAATAAAAATGAAGATAAGATAAGATAAGATAAAACTTTATTGATCACAGCTTTATTGATCCCACGGTGGGGAAATTCAAAAATAACTGAATTTGATGGCAGCAACACATAAAAATACAACAACAAAAAGGCTGTAAAAGAACAGTAACAGCATTTTGCAATTTAGGTTAATAAAAAAGATCGTTTTTGATGCCCAGTAAGAGAACTGGGCATCTTAGAAAGTAAAGATGGGCAGAGGTTCAGCCGTCTAAAACATGCCTGAAAGTAGTGGAACAATTTCAAAATAATGTTCCTCAACAGAAAACTGGGAAGACTTGAAATATCTCATCTTACAGTTCATATTATCACAAGATTTTAAAAATCTGTAGAAATTTCTGAGCATAAATATTGAAAGTCAGTGTTGTATTCTTCTTATCTTCGGGTGGTAACATGTTTTACTTGAAACATTTCATGTTTACTTTGTTCCATCGGGAACAAAATGGGTTTTTGACATTTAAAAGGCATTTCATTCTGTTTTAATTCATATTTTGCACATCCCAATATGTTTCAAATGGAGGCTGAGTGTGTTTTTTATTCTAAGAGCGTATTTGGAGTTTTCTATAAACACAACAACTCTGCCACAAATAAGTCACCTCCTGTAGTCACAGTGGGACATCATCACTCAGCTGAACATCTGAGCCCTGTGAGAGCTCAAACCCATCCTCCTCCTCCTCCTCCTCCTCCTCCTCCTCTTCCTCCTCCNCCTCCTCCTCCTCCTCCTGAGGCAGGCTGCAGTCCCTCCTGCCACAGACATCCTTAACTTTGTGATGAACTGTTTTGCGTTTGTGACATGCTCAACAGAATTCCTGTCAGCAGTTTTTCTGTTACGCCGTCCGCAGCCCAGATTTGGGTTTTCTAGAAGCCCAGTCCAGCCCCGGCCCCGGCCCTCTCCTCTGACCTCCTATTGCAGCACTGTTTAGGAGCTGCCAGCTCTGCTCGGCATCACACCCACTCAGCTCATTGCAGCAGCGATTATTTCACCCAGGTTGGTGTTTTCAGTGTGACTCAGTGCGAGGGACCCGCCATCGGCTCTCATTACCTCCACATTACGCCCATGTTCTCTGTGAGCTGGGCCGTTCACAGGCCTGCAGCAGGTCACCCACACTGCACACATTTCAAATGATTCCATCAGACGTTTTCTTCAGCTGAAACTAAAACGTTTTACACTGTTCTGTCCTTGGGTGAATTTCCTGTGGTTCTGTAAAACCTTTTTTAAAGTCATTCAGTTTAAAGTTACATTTTTCCCCAAAGCACTGAAGTTAAAGAAATAATCTGTCATTTTTTAAAGTGATGGTTTGTAAAATAGTTATGTCAGTCAAATAACATTTTCATAAAGCAGTTCTGCAAAAATGATTGCATGGATTAGTACGTCTTTTTACTGCTTTCAGGCATCAGCCACATCCATCACTGAATTTTGAGCAATAGAGCAGGATTTTTCCTAGTGGTGGGCCACCGGCCTTATTTGCCCTCCCACCAGGCTACGTGTTGTTTGTTTATTTAAAGCCAACGCCAGCAGAGATGTGACAAGTAGCAAGGACTTAGCATTAGCAATATTGTGTTCCACTACTGTGGCACTAGAAACCATACAAACCATACATACCCTATTTGTATGATTTGTTGGTGTGCGTCATCATCTATCTTCCCTCTGTAATAAATATGTTTGTTGTTGCACAGTCCATACAGTATGTCATCACTTCATCACGATTTATTACCGTTTCAGCTCTGTTACTACCTCACTTTGCACAATGACTGTGCTGTTTCCATCCACATGTTTTTGACCATTTGATTATCTTTATAAGTGTCTGGAAGTCATATAGATGTCCTCTCTGACTGCCTCGGACAACAGGTCCACCAAACTATCCATGTTTTTTGGGCGCACAACAGCTGGTTTTCAAAGCGGAGTAGTTGAAGCAAAATGTCATTATTATTATCTGAGTGCTTTTCTGCATGACCATGTCCACAAACATCTGACCAATCACAAACACTTGGCGTAATGGCCACTGAGCAAAAGTTTGTTCTGAGCCTTGTGTTGAGAATGGGCGGGTGAAGCTGCTCTGCAAACAAAATGACAATTTTTGTCATGCAACTACAATGAGAGATGTTTTTGTAGCTTCAGATGGAGTATGCAGGGGTCTTAAATCTTGGCTTTAGGTGTGTTGTGAAAAAGCCAACAGAGCATTGAGAAAAGACAAAAGTCTTAGAGGATAGGCTAATGGCTAGCCAAATGGGGTCTTATTTATCTTTTTATAAGGCCTATAAAACAACTCATTCTCAAAAAAGATGTATCATTTGGTGCGAAAGAATCTGCACTGTGATTGAAACAAGGAAACTGAGGACCCCCGGGACATTTTAGGAACCCTGTCACAAATTTTGTTTACCAACCTGGAGGAGGACCAGCTTGACAAGCTGAAGGATGAAGATTCTGCTGCGTAGCCAAAGCCTCACAAAATTATCTCACATTCCTCACAAATTGTGGCTCATGCAAACATGCAAACACTTTTTGACTATTTAAAAAATGGGTTTGAAACATGTTTTAAAACTTGGATTTGCCTCGTTTTTAGTCAGCAGTCAGAACAATTGCCAAAAACAGGATTTGTATTGATCTGTATCAGCTGTTAGTGCACAGTGGTGTTGTGTGGTCGTGTTGAAGATTTCTGAGTCTTCTTCTCGTTGATCCTCCCTGCAGCTCAGACTCAGTTTAGCTGAATCTGAGGGGAGAAGGTGGGAGGAAGTGACGAGGCTCTGCAGCAGCAGATGGTAAAAGGTTGTAAAAAGTGTGAGGAAGTCTGCTTGTGTGAAACTTGTAAGTGTAGCTCATCATGAGAAAGAAGCCCAGACGTGTTTGCTTGGTTTCACATGTGTCTGTCCGTCATTGATTCATTCATCCTCTCTGCTCTTTCTGCTCCATCTCGGCAGGAATTCGATCCTGGGACGTCGATCTGAAGTGCTGCGACCTTGATCAGCAGCTGCAGCTGTTTATAACTCGCCACTCTGCTCACTTCTCCACCGAGGTCAGAGGTGAGTTTGATGTTGTGCCCACCCTCCCATTAAAAGTTTTTATAATTTTTAGATAGTCAGCACCTACCTATTGCTCGCAATTTTGTCAAAATGCTAAAACCAGGTATATCAGAAGGTGATTCTCTATCTCCCACATTGCATTGATTTTTAAATGTAGCCTGTATGACATCGGCATAATAAACTCCTGAAATTTGTTTATGGCTTTTGATTTTGGTGTGCCGCCCCCATATTTACGTGTGGCCAGGGGCTGACTGGGGAGGAAAAGTGGCCCGGGAGTTCCTGACGGATTGGCCCACTTTCAGTGTTAAAGTTACTCAGACTTAAACATAATTTAGTTCAAAATAATCACATTTACAAAGCATTTGTTTGAGACATACAGTGTGTACCAGTGAAGAGGGAGGAAGAACATGTAAACACCACCCAGAAAGGTCCCAGGCTGGGATTTGATCCAGCAACTGGGAAACAACACATCTACCAACTGAGCTACTGAGCTACCAAATGTTTTATTTATAATGTTGGTGAAGATTCTCAGTCATTCAGATCATAATTAATAAAAAAAGCAAAAAAAAAAAAACTGGATTTCTATTCAAAGAAGGACTCCCTACCAATCCAAATATTTTACACTGACAAAGTTTCCTGATGGGAATAGAAACACTTACAGTTTCAAAATAATGTCTAACTGTATTGTTTAGTTAATTTATATACTGTATATATTAGCTTTTTAAAAATTGCATAGATTTTATGCCTCTAACCTCATGAGAAGCTTCATCTTGATACTGAGGATATTCATTTTATACTAGTTGTCCATATTTAGTGGGACTATTTAAATTTTTTTATTTTACGTAAAATATATATTTAATATTCAATATATTTATCTTTAACTCTTATTTTTTCAAAAAAAATTAAAAAATTTATAAGGTTCTACTAATCCTAAATAGCTGGGAAAAATTTAAACAAAGCACAAAGTAGAAGCTTGGGACTCAAGAGGATAAAAGTGGTGGGGCCAGCAAATTTTTGAGGTGGGGTGGTGGGCACAGTCCCCCGTGGCCACCCTCACTTGTGGCGCCCCTGGTGATTGACCGGTTATGATCCACAGAGGAATGACGAGCTGGAGCCACAGCACTGCACATCTCTGTTAGATCTGAGAGACAAACAGGGAGATGAGTTGCTGAGTTATTAGTAAACACTACAGAGCTGACTTGTTGTCATAGGCTGAGCTTTATGGGACAAGTTTTCTGATTGAAGCCATTCGGCCTTGTCAGAACAGTAGCGCTCTGTAGCGTTTAGAAGTTCAGTCCATGGCTGGCTGCACTCTGAACAGATCAGCTGAATGGAGGAGCGTTATAGAAGCATTGTGGCACAGTAAAACGAGTGTGACCACGGGGCTGAGTACGGCAGCACCTTCAGAGGCGAACTGCCAGCAGCCCATCGGCCCACCGGGAAAACTCCTGGTAAACTTTTATGCCAGTCTGCCCCTGCCTGTGGTCCCCATCTGCAGGAATATCATAATACTGTATGTCTGCCTTGATAAAAATGTTCATTGATGGCAATTTATAATAACATTTGAATAAATCACATGAGATTTCTGAGACTGGAGTTGTTTAAAAACAATAAAATCCACTTTGTAAGTTGGATTGCTGGGACTGATATGAGCTCATCAAGCCAGTCAGAAATCCAAACTGAGGTTGTTCATGAGTGATCTACAACAAGTAAGATACAAAGACCTGAACTGTCCTTTTTTAATAAAGAAAAACACAACATCCTCTAGGCTTTATAAATGCATTCAGCCTGAATCTAAAGCAAACTGATGTTTTATTTCATGGCATTCATTTGATTTGATTTGCTTGAATCCGTCTGGTTTCTCAATAACTTTCCTGCTAGATTTGGTCAGATGATAAGATTATAGTATGTTTGGATAACTCAGGATTGTCTGTTAAAAATATTGCAACAGTTTCCACATTATCCAAGGAAACTCAATATTTTCTTTGTTTTTAATTATCGGTTTTTAACTTACAACTGAATGCAAAAATGTCAGGAATGTTAGCAAAATACTATATGTCATGAACAGCTGGATGGATTTTAATGAAACTCTCAGAAAGCAATGGATGCACACATAAAACTGCATAAAGTGTGGAGTCAATCTAATTTAAAATGGCTGCACTAGGAAACCAACATTACAAACCATAGTCAGTTCTATCAATACTCATCTAAACTTGATGTGGTATTAGGTGAGACTAATGTAGCTACAACACATACTCCAAGCGCACCACTTTGCACAGCATCTTTGCTTAAAAACCTAGGTACTGATGGACTCAACCCTGTTTGTCTGTTAGCAAAATATTACATGACACACTGGATTAATTTTATTAAAACTTACAGACTGTCATCAGTGGATAAACAATTGGAGTCCATTCAATTAAAGATTGCTGCCACACCTAACTGATATATGAAAATAGCTAAAATGCAGTTACTTCACAGTTACTAAGCTAAAATTTGATCTGAGCTTGACATCACGATAGTGGGAGATTAGCATTCTATCAAAGAATACTAGGCCTGTTTTTCACTTTTTTATTGATTTACTGAAGGTTTAATCTATGTGCAGAGCAGCAGAGCTGAACTATCGGTTTGGTGACAGCTGCAGTGTGAGGCGGTATGTTTGTGTGTGTTTTTCTGACCTGCTTGCGTCTGTGAGATGAAAACATATTTCAGGTCTCACAGCTCAGGCTCAAACCGCCAAAAATGCTGAGCGAGGAAATCTTTCCATCACCTGTCAGAAAAAAGGCTTGATGGGATCACACATCCTGGATACATACATTTTAAAGAGTAACAACAATGGATGAGCTCTAGGACTGACTGCCGCTGCACTTAACAGGGAGTGCCGTGCAGCTGCAGTCAGCAGAAAATGACACAGCATTTTTCCAGACGGTCATTAAACAGAGCAAATACCTTCAGAGGAAACAGCAGTGTCCCTGTGAAACAGTAGATAGAATCAGTATTCATCTTGTCTTATGTTCCCTGTCAGTTCATTATACTATCCATAGTTAGTCTGTTTTGTCCTCTGTGTGAGTTTTCCTCATGCTTCCTCCCAGAGTTTTATTTCTCAGCTGCCATGTTATAGCCTGGCCCTTGCCTTCCTACGCAGCTCCGCTCAATTCTAGTTTCCCTTCACTGCTCCGTCTGGGATTTCTCCCATTGACAAGGATTTCGCTGGCAGATTTTTAGCCGGGCCAAGAGAACGTTGATTTTCTGCGCAGTGTCTGCTTGTAGTTTATTTTACCTGGGCCAATCAGCAAACAGAAGGTGGAGTTTTGAATGACGTCGATGTTCTGCGCAGTGTCTGCTAGTTATTTTAGCATACAGCAGTGGAGGAAGTGAATGAAGCCAGTCTGTGTTGATAAGGCTTCCAAATTAAAAAAAATTGTCTGACAAAGCAGCAGCTCTCATTTACAGCCGTTTCGTTTGGCTCGGTACTTTTCTC